GAAGGAAATATATCTGTTCCTACGCTTTTTAAGGACTTTTAGAGTCATGAAATTTAAATTTTTTTTATTCAGTTTAAAACTCTTTTTCAGTCTGCCTAAAAAAATTATTTCTGCACTTTTGCAGATCATTCGGACGTCACTGGAAGGATTAAATCAAACCTTTACATACAGATTTATATTTTATTTTTGAAACCTAGCAAACCATCATATGGTTCTGTTGAAACTAAAGCTGAGAAAAACAGATATTACATTTTACTTTATAAGCTAAGCTTTTAACAACAAAACCAGCTATATTAAGATGTATATTTTTTCGTTCTTAAATATTCTTATTTTTGATTAGTTATAATGCTAGGAATTAAAATTTCCCTATAATTTAAAAAAAGCAGCAAAAAATTATAAATTTTAAAGAAAAACTTTCAAAAATTCATTTTTAGGCATTTTAGTATTTTAGCTATAGTTTAGTATTAGTTTATAGTTTTAGTAATTGTAAGAGAAAATTACTTGGTTAAATTCTTCTGTTTAGTTCAGATTTAAAATATTATTTTCTAAAAGAAGTTACAAATTCGCTTACATCATAGGAAAAGCTAAAAATATATACAAGCCTGAAAGCATGCAATAGCTTTATAATTATTTAGAACGTTAATCATAATTCAGAAGTCAAACAACAAAAATCAGCGTTATATTTACAAAATTTTTCACAGGACTAGTTTCGATGGTTTTACCGAACCACCATCCTCAGCTGCAAAACCGCAAATGAACAAGATAGGAAATAATGATTAGATAAGATAAGAAAGCCTGGACAAGAATAAGCAAGTGGCGCCATCTGTTGGTGAAACCAGAACTAAAACATAATTTCTTTAAAGGCCGAAGGCAAATTTGGATTGGAATTAGGATCGTTAACTAGAACAGAAAGATTTTTATGAATGTGAAATGCCTCTAGAAAATCCAGTTCTCCAATAGAAGATGTTTTTTGAATAATTTTGGCAGCAGAAAAATTGAAAGTGTGATTTTCAGACCAACAATGTTGAGCAACAGAAGACTTCTGGGTTTCCTTTTTTCTAACATATGCCTCATGTTCCTTGACGCAAAATTTAAAGGCTCTCTTAGTTTGGCCAATGTAAATTAAACCACCACTGGCAAGGAATCCTATAAATACCCCAGGGAATTCATATCCGGATGGGAGTGTATTGAACTCGGAATTTTATTGATGGGAAAAAAAAAACCCGAAAGTTAAATTTCTTGCAAAATAACAATATGTGCACCTTTGTGGCTAATTGATGGAAGAAGGAAGGTGACAACAGAATTTTTATAATAATCCTGAAACAAGATGTGCCTTTTAGTGTGTTGAGATGAGAATTTTTTAACTGCTTGAATTTAATAATGTTGGGTGAAAAGCCCTGTCAATAGCTATTGCTTTTAAATAATTTAGTTCTTCATCAAGGGCTAATTTGGAGGCAAACTTGAAGAGCACGGAAAACATAGGAATAAAATGAAGCTAACTTTTGTTTAGTCGGATGACATGATTTAAAGTGTGGTGAAAGGCAAACCGATGAAGGTTTACGGTAAACCGTAGTACTGAAGTTGGATGTGTTAAGAGTGACCAGAATGTCGAGAAACGGAAGAGAATTGCAAGTCTCAAGTTCAAAAGTGAACTGAATGGCAGGATCAATAGAATTCATTGTTGAAAGAACTTTATTTAAATCATCTTTATTACCTTCAAACAGGGTAAAAGTATCGTCTACGTATCGGAACCATGCCGGGAATTTTAAAGTTTCAAACAATTTTGATTCATAATAATGCATGTAGATATCAGCCAGGATGGGACTGAGGGGGCTTCCCATGGCTAATCCTCAGTTTGCTTGTAATATTTATTTTGGAAAACAAAATGTGTTTGTTTGAGAGAGAACAGAGTTGAGTGAGAGAAATTAGCTCATCAATTTCGATGCAAGAGAAATGAAATTCGCGAAGTCTGGTTTCTAGACATCTTAATGCACCCTCCACTGGGACATTGGTGAATAATGATTTTACATCAAAAGAAACCATGAGTAAATTACTAAAAGAAATGTTTTTGACCTTTTTAACAAACTCTATTGAATTTTTTATGGTGTAAATGTTATTGTCTAATAGAGTTGAAAAATCTAGAAACTAAATATTTAGCTAATGGATACGAGGCAGTACCTAAATTTGATACAATAGGGCGGAAAGGAATACAACATTTATGAATTTTGGGAAGAGCATATAATCTGGCACATTTCGCAACAGATGGAATAAGCGAATGTTTTAAGTTGCTTGAAATGTTTTGCGAAGATTTGATCGCAGTTTTATTTTTTATATAATTAACTTCTCACAAACCTGTAAACTCTCGATTCCAAAGATTTTGGCTCCTATCGAAAAAACTTTCAAGTTCAGTAAAGTTTCAGATTCACAGAAAGAAATGATTAGGCATCTTATCGCTCATAATGTGAAATTCAATAATAAACCTTTGAAACCAAATCTAACTGTGAGAGAAAGAGCTACAATGCGCGAAATTCATTCTAACCCGTATATTATCATTTCAGAGGCATGCAAAGGTGGCCAGATAGCTGTCATGGATAAGAACACTTACATTGATGGTGTCACTAAACTCTTAAACGAAGGACCATATAATCCGATCCCTAAAGATCCTTCACCTTCGGACCTGTCAAAAATGAAAAACTGCAATCAAATTTTCGCAAATCATTTCAAGCAACTTAAAACATTCGCTTATCTCATCTGTTGCGAATTTTGCCAGATTATATGCTCTTCCCAAAATTCATAAAAGTGGTATTCCTTTCTGCCCTATTGTATCAAACTCAGGTACTGCCTCATATCCATTAGCTAAATATTTAGTATTAGTTTCTAGATTTTCAACTCTATTAGACAATAACATTTACACAATAAAAAATTCAATAGAGTTGTGTAAAAAGGTTAAAAACATTTCTCCTAGAAATTTACTCATGGTTTCTTTTGATGTAAAATCATTATTCACCAATGTTCCAGTGGAGGGTGCATTAAGATGTCTAGAAACCAGACTTTCGTGAATTTCATTTGTCTTGCATCGAAATTGATGAGCTAATTTCTCTCACTCAACTCTGTTTCTCTCAAAACAAACACATTTTGTTTTCCAAAATAAATATTACAAGCAAACTGAGGGATTAGCCATGGAAAGCCCCCTCAGTCCCATCCTGGCTGATATCTACATGCATTATTAGGAATCAAAATTGTTTGAAACTTTAAAATTCGCGGCATGGTTCCATTACGTAGACGATACTTTTACCCTGTTTGAAGGTAATAAAGATGATTTAAATAAAGTTCTTTCAACAATGAATTCTATTGATCCTGCTATTCAATTCACTTTTGAACTTGAGACTTGCAATTCTCTTCCGTTTCTCGACATTCTGGTCACACATAACACATCCAACTTTCAGTACTACGGTTTACCGTAAACCTTCATCGGTTTGCCTTTCTACCACACTTTAAATCATGTCATCCGACTAAACAAAAGTTAGCTTCATTTTATTCCTATGTTTTCCGTGCTCTTCAAGCTTGCTCCTCCAAACTATCCCTTGATAAAGAACTAAATTATTTAAAAGCAATAGCTATTGACAGGGGCTTTTCACCCAACATTATTAATCAAGCAGTTAAAAAATTCTCATCTCAACACACTAAAAGGCACACTCTTGTTTTAGGAGATTATAAAAATTCTGTTTGTCATTCCCTTCTTTCCATCAATTAGATACAAAGTTGCACATATTTTGCAGAAATTTAACTTTTGGGTTGTTTATTCTCCCATCAATAAAATTCCGAGTTCCATACTCCAAGGACCCCATTCTGGATATGAATTCCTGGGGTATTTATAGGATTCCTTGCCAGTGTGGTTTATTTACATTGGCCAAACTAAGAGAGCCTTAAAATTTCGCGTCAAGGAACATGAGTCATATGTTAGAAAAAAGGAAACACAGAAGTCTTCTGTTGCTCAACATTGTTGGTCCGAAAATCACACTTTCAATTTTTCTGCTGCCAAAATTATTCAAAAAACATCTTCTATTCGAGAAATGGATTTTCTAGAAGCATTTCACATTCAAAAAAAACCTTTCTGTTCTAGTTAATGATCCTAATTCCAATCCATCTTTGCCTTCGGCCTTTAAAGAAATTATGTTTTAGTTCTGGTTTCATCAACAGATGGCGCCACTTGCTTATTCTTGTCCAGGCTTTCTTATCTTATCTAATCATTATTTCCTATCTTGTTCATTTGCGGTTTTGCAGCTGAGGATGGTGGTTCGGTAAAACCATCGAAACTAGTCCTGTGAAAAATTTTGTAAATATAACGCTGATTTTTGATGTTTGACTTCTGAATTAGTATTTATTCGGCGTATTATTGTGTCTTAACGTTAATCATGCTTGAAAAACATGCTAAGTATTTAAAAAGCAACCTCAGTGTCAAAAATAAAAATATTTAAAAATTCTTACTTGTGAAATGAGGCATTACCACCAGCTTTTTCGTGACAATAGTACGCGCTGCAATAGCCAACCATTGCTAATTTCTGGAAGTCGTCCCTACTCCTCCGGATGTGATCAAGGTGACAGCCATGAACGCGCCAGACAAGGGAGAAAACGCAATTGGGTTAGTCTATTTCTTAAAAGGTCCATGGATAAAGCGTGATGACGTCACAAACAGGTTGCAGCGCGTCCGTAGATAGTAACATAGCATCCCCACGTACTCTATTCCCTCCCCCCTCTGCGCCTCAGGAGGCTCCGCCCATCGGCTCCCCGCTCCCTGTGGCCCCAAACCCAGGACTTAAAAGAGCCCCAAACCGGCCTATTATACCTACTATCATTAATATACTATATTGTTGGTGATATATTTTATGAAGAGAACTGTGAAATATAACATGAGAAAAGTGTTATCATTCTTCAAATATTTTGATTTAACATAATTACATTAATGCATTTTAATGCTAATATATATTTTTAATTTCCAGCCGAATTTACTGTTCCTGTCGTTCATAATGAATGGGTGAAATTCAACGTGAACCAGACTGGATATTATTTGGTTAATTACGAAGAAAATGACTGGAATAGACTGACAGAATTATTGATGTCTAGTCATGAGGTAAATTATCCAACAATTGCTTTTCATTACAGAAATGAAAGGTTTAAAATATCTATTTTATTAATGAATCAAACTTTTATGAGTCATTTGTATAAATAGTTTAGAACATTATCTCTCCTAGTTTGTGTAACAGACGACTTACGCAAATTAACAGCTATGTAAAAACGCAAAGCCGTAACATTCTCTCTGAGACCTTCCAACGCGAAATAAGGACTGCGTAAATAATTCCTCCTTTGTTCGATCTTTACTCTGAATCTTTACACTAATCTTTCTGTCTGATCTTTACACTGATCTTTTTACACTGAAATAAACTCATGCTGTTAGTTTAATCGCTTGTATATCACAGTTCATTCGTTGTTTATACAGGGTGTTTCAGCAAATCGGTTGAAAACTTTCAGCAAAGATAGAGTACACCTAGCGATTGAAAATCACAAATAACAATGCACGGTCGGAAACCTTTTCCTGAAATTTCTATCAAGAAGTTCAAAAATTTATCTTGGCTCACTGTTTTCCGTTTGCGCCCACTTGGCGAAATTCTTAATTTATTTATTATTAATTCTTAATTTCTAACCCATTTTCCTTTCCCATTCACTGTGCACGAGGGCAAAAAAGGTGCATGGTTCATTCTTTCAAACAATTTTAGCAAACTACGTAAACCACATTTGACATTATTATCGCTTATAACAAATATGCCAATTATCAAAATGAGCTAATTTATAAAGCCACGTATTTTAGGAAATTTTGAATACAAAGCCCTATTTTTTTTCAGGTGTGCTTAGAAATGCATCTAATTTCAGGTGGTGGAAAAATTTTAAAGGTTCCAAAAATTTTATGAAAAATTACTAAAAAATATAAATTTTAAAACCAAAGCAGAAAATATCTGCGAATTTTCTTTGGATTGAATACAACTGTTTCTTTCTTTCTTTTTTGGGTGTGTGTGTGTGTGTGTGTGCAAGGTAATCTGAAATCAATCAATGTTTCAGAATATTTGGAATAAATTTACGATTCTGGGAGCATTTTTTTTTTTTTTTTTTTTTTTTTTTTTTTTTTTTTTTTTTAAACAAGTGATAAGTAAATTTATTGAGCTTGAGAAAAAAAACAGTACTCGTAATTTTAAGGAATTTATAGAAATCTCTACTTTACCTTAAAATTATTCAGCAATTTCTATCAATTTTCTTATGCTATCATATCGCATATTTAATATTTGCAAATCAATCAGAAGACACATTTAAGTGTTTACATTTCCTGATGCTCAAGATTCTTATGAATGAATCGAAATTTCTATCTGTGCTTTTAAAACGCCAATATTGAGAATCTTAATCAGTTATTCTGTTTTAATTGTTTTTAGTAGTTCTTCCTGTTCTGGCGGTGTCAGAACAAGACTAACAATCCGCTTATCTTCAACACATTCAAAATTATATATTAAACCATAAAATGTTACCGTCAATGCATAAAAGTTCAGTCATCAGAAAACGGCAATGATTTCATAAATAAAACAGTCTGAAAAGCAACTTTCTCTCTATTGAAGAGCTTAATATTTGTTATGAAACACTTGCAATTATGACAAAGCATTTTTGATATAGTTTCGCTCATAAAATCTGTGGCAAATGCCAGAAATCTTGGGAAGAATGACTTATGGATCAGAGAGTATTTTCCATGTTGTTGTTGTTGCTTATGCTCACTTGTCTGACGTAGTCAGCCCAAGCCCACGAAATTCCTCGTGGCAAGCAGTGCTAGATTGCGCCTGCCGTTGGTAACAGCCATGAGCACCATTCAGGTGATAGTACGATTTAGCTCAGTTCCGCACCCGAATTTTGACGGAAAGCACCTCGGAGGGAAGGGTACGAGGGTTTTTCACCAAACCGCACGAGAGGACGTTCGGCTTGCCGCATATTTAGAGTGCTACTATGCCGCACACATCCATGCCTTCTGCAGGATTTGAACCCGGGCCCTTCGTCATGGCAATCATCGACCCTAACCACTATACTGTTTGGGCGGCTGGATTTTTCACACTTTGTTATTCTAAAATTTGTCTTTTGTTGTAACTTGCTGAAATTTTAATAGATTAAGAGCTATCAAGATCACCAAAGTGTCAATTTAATCCAACCGGATCGCAGTGTTACTCTCTTTTTAAGATCATTGAGGTGGAGAAGGGAGAAGAAAGACATTGTTGCGTTCTACGGGGTTTGTAGATTTGGAATAATTGATGATAACACTTGGTGAAGAATCAAAACGCTATCTATTTACCAGTAAGCACTATTACACAGGACATTTCCAAAGACACGTTTACACTCGTCGAAAACCCTGCGACAAACACGCTAAAATAATCAGCAATACCGCTTTCAGAGAATAACGGTGAAAGCAACTTTATGGCAGAGTACGACTCTGTCTGTCGATCGCTCTCAAGCTAATCTCTGAACTCAAGACACTACTTTCTCCCCGTACTGGCAGGATATATATAGCTTTAGTCTACGTTCGAGAATATTCCCGAGAGAACCGTTAAGAATGAGTTCTAGAATGCTCTAGCTCCGTTTATGACATAGTGCCAATGTTGTCACCAAATATCGCCAAATGGATGTTTGCGCTAAATCTGGCAACCCTGCCTTTCCCTGCCACTTTCTGGTAGCCCTAAGCTCGCTTTGCAAGGAAGCTATATCACCGCGCAACCGCTGGGCATTTTGCAACAATATGTTTTAAAAATGGATTCAGTGTACTTTGAAGTCTTTTTCAGTTTTTAAGGATTTTAATACTCATATTATTTTTAAAAGTTGACAATTGTTCAAAGCTTGAAACTGTCTGTTATGTAGGTTTTTTTCATTTAAATCAGTTATCTAGTTATGATAGCTCAAAGCCTCGTAAAAACTACTAATTTAGATTTATTATTAAACTATTAGGGTGTTTCATATATTGTGTTTTACCTTTAGTCGCTGTCGCCATCAGATAGATCCAATCTTCTCTTCGACACATTCCTTTTGGCGGAAGCTGGCCACATTCAGTTTGATGTATTCTTGTCCATGACCAAGTACCTGAAAAATGAAACTCATCTCATACCTTGGGAAACTGCCTACGCCTCTTTTGTTTACTTGTGCCAATTACTTGAATTTACGGATGTCAACTTTTTGCTGAAGGTAAGTTCCGTAATTTTGATTATTTTTTATTTTCTGTAAAAATACGGTAAAAATATTTGTATTAAACTGAAAAAGAAATACACTAATTAAAATATTTTAATTAGGTAATAAAAGCCCGCATTGGTATGGTTTAAATTTTGAATAAAATTATTGATCTCAAAAGCGATCAGAAACACATCCCTATCCTTCAGAAGCAAAGAGAGGGATTTGTGTGTTATTTCCCTCGAAAGCGACAGAATTTTACTCAAAATCTACTCCAAACTCTGGTCGCCCTTTTCTGCCTAATGTTAACTATCTCTCTGAATTTAATCATTTGTAAGATTCGGTTTTTTTGTTAGATATTGAACCCATTCGATTAATTCTGACACTGATTTCTTTGTTGTAGGTCATATGGACCCGTAGATGTACAAAATGCTAGAAAACGATAGTTTCAAAGGAATATTCGTATCTTAGAATAAAATTTAACTGTCTTCACAAATAATCATTTAAAGCGTGAAGGAATGTTCTTGAATTAGACAATTAAAGGTTCAATAATTAGTTTTAGTCCAATCGTTTAACACTAGGATACGGAATTCGCTTACATTTATGTAACAAATAGAAGTTTGGAAGAATAATAACCAAACACATATTCAGTTTTAAAAATATGTTCAAAATTTATGTTCGATAAGCATATGCAAAAAAATATATGTCAATATTATTCGCTCTTTTTACATTAAGGTGAAAGAGAAGAAATACAAAATTTAAAAATTTATTGTGGAAAATCAAAGGTTAGTTAACAAGTTTAATAAAAAAAAACACAAAACGATTCTATATTAATTACAATAATGTATTTTATTTTATATTAGTTTATATCATCTCTCTCTCTCTATCTCTCACTACCCCCCCTTTTTTTAATGTTACATGTATCTAACTCTATCCAACTATAAATTCACATTGAAAACGTAAATGGTACCTGCCGTCTAACAGATATTCTAGAATGTGCTCTTAGGGACAAAAAGATTAGAGACTCCTGGTCTAATAGTATATTCTCTAGAAAGAACATTCTCTATAAAAACGTTTACTTCCAATCAACGTACTTTCATCAGGTTGTATTTGAAACTTCTAGTGAGAAAATATGCTTTTATCATCATATTGATTATGATAAAGATTTTTAAACATAAAAAATATATCTCTTAAGTTAATTATTTCAATAAACAAACAGCGAAACAAAATGCACACTTTACAAACTTCTTGCTGGCAATGATTAGTTTGTGGACGATAACACTGTTATACGAGATAAGAACACATTTAATTTAATGCTGGGCAGTAGAAAGTGTTGACACGTGTTGTCCCATAGGGGAAAAAAAGATGCAAATAAAGCTCTAAACTGCTAAAAGTGGATTTATTTGTTTTAAGTTGTTCAGTTTGTTGAGCAATTTCGGAATGATTCAATTTGAACGATGAATTAAACGTTTTTGCACATGACAAATATATGAAAATTTTTTATTCAAGAAGCATGTAGAAAACAGTTTAAATACCTTACCTTTTGTGACGCGACAAAGCTTGCTTACTGTATGATACTATGGTTATGGTAGCATAACATAATATAACTATTCACAAATTTTGGATGCACCGCTCTAAATACGTTTTTAACGTCAAAAAAGCAACCATTGAAAGCACTTAAAAATTCCCTTTTTCCCGCTATGAGAGACTCGAGATTTTCTATGGAAATTTTCATCAGCCGAAATAGCACAAAGCTATATGAAAATCATTATTATTTAAATAAAAAAAACTTTTAAAATGCTGGGGTCTGCACAATAGCATAGCAATGGTACCAAAAAATATACAAATGTATAAAACCTAAAGTAGGACTATAATAAAAATAAAAATGCTACAAATGCACTACCTATATATGTAAGTATAATAGAGAATCTATGCTATCATTTAACACACTAGATGAGTGAAAAACACATATGCAAAAATTTCTATTGGAAAGGCTATACAATGAGTCTCAACAAGTGGTTACAATAAAATTTTATAGAACATTCAAACTTTTCCAGTTACTTGGGTATAGTAGTGTTTCCTTTTTGATAAAATTTTTACGATCTCATTTAGAACGCAATACATTTTGAGTACAGATAAGTTAGGTAGTTTGACTATGGCAAAGCAACCGCGGTCTATTTACGTAAGCCGAGGGATGCCTTCGTAGATAGATTTGTAACGAAATTTGTATTCCTATTAGACATGGTGAAAATTCCGAAAACCAACCATGCAGCGAGTCCGTGACTTTATCGCTTGGCGACAGGCGGCCGAACATGGTTACTCCGGTTTCGAAATAGAATGCCGGTGAACGGTCTGGTTGCATAGGCGTTTATGTGGTTTTGCTCATGTGTAACTTGTATATGACCCACTTTCTCATAGAAAGTCCTCCACGAAGTCACCTTTACCCCGAGGCTAGTAGCCCGCGAGTGCTTTGCCATAATCAAATACTAAACCAAACCAAAATCGAGCAGCCAGCCCGTTCGCCTGGGATTGGACTTAAGTTGAACTCTCAGTATTCAGCAATCTTAACTGCTTGGCCAGTAGTGCGCCGTATATAACATACGTTAGTTATACTGTATAAGGTGTTTTCTCCTTTCATCGCATGCTTCCGTTGTGTAACTGAAAGCACGCTCGACGCATATTCGAGCGGTCCAGAGTTTGAATCCCGGCGAGGGCTTTGTGGATTTCTTCAGTTTCCTAATTTTGAAAAATCCTCTACAAATATTTCGTTTAGAATTATTGAAATATATGAGATTTTTATGTCTAATTTCAAGGCCTATGATATTATTAATCCTACATATCAAGAATGTAAACAAAAAAACTGAGTCCTCAATTCAGTTAAAATTTCAAAGAAAAAGTTGTTCTTAAACATAAATAAGACACACTCACCTATCCTTAAATGCATAAGTTTTTTAATTAACAGTAAAAAAAATCATTTCTACTTTGTATTGGAACATTCTCACTTTCATGGTAGTAAAGAAAGTACTATAATTGCGAAAAATTTTGGCTATGACATTTCAACGAAAATAATCCATTTTGACCGCTCTTGAATCCATTTGGATGATTTTTTTGCGTGATATCTGTACGTATGTACGCAGGGACATGTTCAAAGACAACTAACATCTGTTCAAAGACTATTTTTGTTGTCTTTGACGAAAGCATCACTCCTACAAGTACTTTACAAGTTATTACAGGTATCCCACCAATACCTTTAATGGTTTTAATGGCTTCTTTTCGTACGGTATCGCAACCATACGAAAAGAAGTAATTAAAACAAAAATCACAAAACTAAAACAAACAGGGTACTTCAACAATAATACTTATCTTGCATCCAACTATGAAGATCTCAAGTATAACTTTGACATACATCCCTCGCAAATGTTTATGAAAAATCTAATGCTTAAAACATCCGTAAAATATTATTCAATACATGTATACACAGACGGTTTTAAAACAGAAATAGGAGTTGGCAGTGCTTATTGTGTTTACTGTAACGGTACCCAAATCAAAAATTGAAATATCAAACTTACTTAATAATAATAATTCAGCTTCTCAAACTGAACTACTAGCCGTCAGAGAAGCAATAAAATACATAAAACAATTCTCGGAAAGAAGTGTTATTATCACAGATTGTGCCTCTGGAATACAAGCTATAACAGGACAGCATCGATCACCACTAATTAGAGAAATTCAACTACTACTGACAAATTTTCCTCAACAACAAATACCAAAACTGCATTGGACACGAGCCCATGTAGGCACAATGAGCGATGAAATAGCAGACCGAAAAGCAAAAGCAGCAGCGAACAGCTCCATTAATGCAACCGATAATCACACCTTACCCAATTTCTTATTTAAAAGCAAGTTTAGAAAGAGATATTTTTATCATTCTGGAATGCAAAATGGTCACAAGAAGCAACAAGTAGAAGAAACTTCAAATTCATATCTACTCCAACAAGACACCTTATCTCGACTAGCCGCGCCATAACATTCTTTTTAACAGCCCACCGTCCTTTTGCATCATATCTACATTTTTTAATTTACATCACACAGATAAATGCATATGTGGAACTACAGGAGCTATCGATCATTATATGTTTGAATGTGATATAACCAAAGATTTACATTTTCAACCATATACATCAGAAAATGCCAAACTATGGTTCAAACAACTATTAAAAAGAGTAACATCCATATAAAAAAGCTAATAAACTATTTATCAACAAACTGCACCAATTTAAAAGCAGCAAAAATACTTTATCATATACAATGTAATAAAATATTTTGTATTTACTTGATCAAAAGTAATTGTTATATTACCAAAATGTTACCAATACTATTATGTTACTTATATGGAATTGATATATTGTCCTTATTATGCAAATAGTGAAAATTTTATAATAAATAGCAGATAGTGGAGGGTCCCACATAATAAGCTAATAAGTCGTCATGACGGTGTAGCTGCTTATTGCTTGGTTTCCTGTCCTGACCTATACGTATGGACAAAATAAAGGACTCTTTTTCCGAAACGGATTGCAAAATGGATTTAAAATGGATTCATGAGGGATTTTTTTTTTTCGTGACGCCTGTACGTACATGCATATATATGTATCTCGCAAAACTCAAAAACTCGTAAGTTATCTCTCAAACCTTTCTCTCAAAAAGGATTGGACGTAGAACGTTGAAGTTTTGGATATGGGATTGCTGTAACATCTAGTTGTACATCTCGTTTTATCGAAAATGCCAGCTCCAAACGTATATATATATATGTTTAGGTAAATAAGAATAAGAGGATGGATATATATATCCATCCTCTTACCCGGCTCGGTAAGCTCTGTTTTTTTTTTTATTCTTATTATGTTGGTAAATTATGCATTTTTTGCTTTAAAATGGATTGAATTATGTTGTTCTTATATTCTGGTTAAGGTTTCTATGCTTTTAGTTAATATGCATTTAATAGATGTAAAATTATGAAGGAT